TTTCCAGGACTTGGGAGATGGCTCAGTTGGATAAGGCACTTGCCCTGCAAGCACGAAGGCCAGAGTTTGGATCCCCAGCACCCACGTATATGCTGGATGGGCATGGCAGCCCACCTGTAATCGTAACACTCAGGTAGTAGAGACAGGGGGATCCCCAGAACAAGCTGGCCGGCCTAATCAGTGAGCTCTGGGTTCATGTGAGAGACCCTACCTCAATATATAAGGTAGGGCGTGACTGAGGAAGACACCTCATGCCCACCTCTGGCTGCCACATGTACACACATGCATGTTCACATACACATATGCCTACACATGTGAACATGCACACATGTAAAATATTTTCTAGCCAGTTATGGTCGCTCTAATCGCATCACTCTGAAGGCTGAGACAAGAGGATGGAAGGTTCAGGGCTAGCCTGAGCCACATAGTAACTCTGAAAACAAAACAACAAAACAAAGAGAAAGTCAGGTTTGCCAAGCCAGCGTTTTGTTCATTGTCAGTCATTTGCTTCTCTGGGGCTCAGTTTCCCCATTTGTGAAATTCAGCTAAAGATTTCTAAGCATTCTGAGATTTGAAATTATGTGGTTACCTATGTAGAAATCATGAAATCTTCTGTTTTCTTTATTGTGAATAAGCTCAGATATCACTGTATTGCTGATGACGTAAGTTGATGAAACCTTCCTGGTAGAAAATAAGTGGGTCCTGCATTGTGCAATTAGAACCTGTTCTTGCTTTCTGATCAGAGCTTCATCTTTAGGGATCATACTTTAAGTAAACTAAACTGAAACAAAGGTAAAAAAAAATTTAAGCAAAGATTTTCATTGCAGGATAATTTATAAAAGCCAAATAAACAAAGTAAAACTGTGGGCGGAACCATTGAAATGCCAGTGGTAGAGAAATATGAAGTAAATTACAGGAGGCCAAAGGCCAGGACGACTGTTTATTCTGGCTGGTGTTTATTCTGCCTGATGCGAACCTAGCTCCCTGAAGTGTGGTATCCCAAGTGTTTGCTATACAGCAAATGACTGAGGGGGGAATGACTGAGGAGGAAAGCACTTAGGGAGCACACAGCGGTGGTATGGGGTGACACCCTTTTGTCTGCTCTGCACCTCTCAGTGCTGGCTGTCTGCGCTCAGCTGGGCTGCTGTTGCCTGCTGGGCTCCAGACCTCACTGCTTTCCCATGCAGATGTGGGACTTAGACAAGTCTGCTTCCTCCCTGAGGTTCACCTCTCTCTTCAGGAAGAAAATCAACAGGGTCTCGAGGGAACTAAAGCAAGAATGCCTTTCTGTTGTATTTTTGTCAAGAAAGCCTCGGCTTATGCCTGTGTGAATATTGGCGCCATCTCCCTCCCCCCTCAAAGGCTGTTTGGACAGCAGGCTGCCTTTCAACTGAGGGTTTGACTTTCTGTTTGCCTCAGTGCTATACTAAGAAAACATTTTCTTGTTATTTCAGTTTAGTTTACTTTGACAAGCATTTACTTAATGCTCAGTAGAGGTAAGGAACATCTAAAATTCATTGTATCATGACATAGAAAAGGAAATAACTTCAAGTAATGTGAGCTGTTTCCCTTTTAGCTTATTGTAGTAACAGCTTCATTATACAAAACTGCTCCTGCCCAAGCTCCTTTCCTATGGTGTCCCCTAGAGGATTCCTTTCTGACTTGTCTCTGGTCACATGACACACGTGCCCCCCCACTCCATGGGCTTTAAGGGTACATTCTCATCTAAAAGCCTGTGCCCCACCATGCCACAGTTTGAGTATAGGGGCTAATGAATTTCTTGCCCAAACATTTTTAATTAGGCTTGCTTCTGAGATTCACATGGACCTCTTCCTTTGGACACATGTACACAGGTGCCGTCACAGTACTTGTCCAGCCAGGGGTAGGAGAGGAAGGGAGCAGGCATCGGGCAAGGGACATGAGCTAAAATTAGCTCCTCTCAACTTCTTACATTCTGAAATTCAAATATTTGAATGTTATGCCCAAACCTCCAAGTAATTTTGTGTGGGTATTCCTTGGAGTAGGAGAATAGAATGTTTTTGTGTCATAGTTTATTGCCTTGGATTATAGCATTTAGTTATTTAGACATAGTATTTGGACCTTCATTTGCAGTGTCACCACAGTCCCCACCAATATTAGAGTCTGGTATACTCAGAATACAGCCTAAAATATCCGCCGTGGTCCATAAGCTCCGTACCCTGCTCTGTCCAGGTGAACCAACCTTTTAAGTCTTGGAATTCCTCACACTCTTCTTCATTACACTTTCTGTTCTTCTCATTGTGGTCTTTTCCTAGGTTGTCAGAATCTCTCTTTCTTCATGTCTTCAAGGTTTTTAAAACCTTCTTAAGTCATCCTTTTTTTTTTTTTTTTTTTTTTGGTCTTTTTGAGACAGGGTTTCCCTGTAGCCCTAGCTGTCCTGGGACTCACTATGCAGACCAGGCTGGCCTTGAACTCACAGACCTCCACCTGCCTCTGCCTCCTGAGTGCTGGAATTAAAGGCGTGTGCCACCATGCCTGGCCAAGTCATCATTTTTTAAAAGATTTATTGTTTTTATTTTCTGTATATGAATATTGGCTGCCATGTGGGTGCTGGGAATAGAGCCTGGGTCCTTGTCAAGAGCAGCCAGTGCTCATAACCACTGAGCCATCTCTCCAAGCTTAAAGTCATCATTTTTATTAGTGAGACTTTGCCTGTTGTTATGTCTTGAGAATAAAATGTCCCCAAAAGCTCATGTGTTAAAAGTTTGATCCAGCTGCCAGTGAAAGGTATTTGGATCCAGTGAATGTTAATGTTAACCTTATCAATAGATGAATCTTCCTCATTGGAAGTAGATCAGTAGGGGGCAGGGAGGGGGTATGTCTTGAAGGTATATCTTGTCCCTGGACCCTTTTTCTCTGTCTGTGCTTTCTAGCTGCTATGAGGTGAGCAGCTTTTTTTCACTGTGTACTCCACGATGTCTAGCCTTATCTCAGACAGAGTAATGGAGTCAAATGACCAGGGATTGAAACCATGAGCCTAAGCACACCTCTACCCTTAAGTTTTAATTTCTCAGGGATTTTGTCTCAGTGATGGAAAGCTGACTAACACACCTGTCCAATCTTTCTAAAGTGGTACCAGTCCTACACACTTGTGTCCCCTTTCCTTCCTGATTTACTTCTTTAAGATAATCTCTATCAAAACCTCAGAAGAACTGAAGAACTAAGCTGGTTTCCCTGCAGATAGTTTTTTTTTTTTTTTTTTTTTTTTTTTTTTAATAAAACCCCCTAATACTAAGACTTTCTTCTTTTTTTTAACAGCCTCATACAAAATTATCTTTATGTGTATGAGTGTATTACTTACATGTATGTCAGTGCACCTGTGTCATGCAGTGCTTACAGAGGTCAGAAGAGGGAGTCGAATCCTCTGGAACTGGAGTTATGGACAGTTGTTAGTCACCATGTAGGTGCTGGGATTCAAACCTGTGTCCTCGGCTAGAGCAGCCATTGCTCCTAACTGCTTTCCAACCCCAAAACAACCCCCAGGAGGGTCTCCCTGCCTGGCACTCACTATGTGGACCAGGCTGGCCTTGAACTCACAGAGATCCACCTGCCTCTACCTCCCAAGTGCTAGAATTAAAGGCATGTACCACTGTGCCCAACAAGACTGTTTTTCTTAAAAAAAAAAAAAAAAAACATTTAATTTTAGTATCTTAAAGTTGTCCATGTCCCTGCTTTGCAGAGTTCCCTAGAGCTGGTTGTATAGAGCAACATCCCTACCTGAGTTTCAGGGCCAGTCTTTTCCAAATCTGTTACACAATGCTGTGGGTTTCCCCATCCTATGTAAATAACAGACTTATATTGCTGTCTCCTAACTTTGCAGTTTTAGGTCTCTTGTTTTCCACTGTAGAGGACTAGACGAGAGCTCCTTTTACCACTGTCACACATCATTTGTGCACATAAATACTGTTTTCTCTATCCTAAAATGATTAAATTGTGATTTGGGTTAATTCAAGATTTGGTGTTTTAAACTATAAACACCACTTACATCAGAGTCACACAGTGTACTGTAATTAATTTTCCTTTCCCCACAACATTTTATTTTTCCTAGGGTAAAAAATTGTCATGCTTTTGATTTTCTGCCCTTTCTAGGTCATTAGCATCAATTCCACCATAGAAGGTCATAGCTGTGTGCACCGCCCCCCTTCCAGTGTTTTTGACATGGATAGTCTTTTACTTTTCTTGTATTTAAAAAACATTTCTTATAGAGTCTTCAGGTCCTTATTAATCTGACTGGTGGTTCTCAGCTATGCTGAGGGCCACTGAGGCCGCGTGCCATCTCCAAGGCCTGTTTATCCTCAGTGTACCACCTGGGTAGTTGTTGCAGATACAGATGCTGTTTTAGAAAGTTTTTTTTTTTTTTTTTTTTTTTTTTTTTTTTTTTTAATTAGGTGTATGTGTCTGTGTGTCTGTATGTGGTTATGTGCACATGAGTGCAGATGCTGGTGGAAGCCAGAAGAGGGTGTCAGATCCCCTAGAGCTGGAGTTATGAGTGGTTGTGAGCTGCATGATGTGGATGTTGGAACCAAACTCTGTTCATCTGCAAGAGCACTACACATTCTTAACCACTAAGCCATTTCTCCAGCCCCCACAACTGCTGTTTTAAAAATAATTAATCAAATCAAGGAAAGTGATAAAAATTTACCTGTAAGCTCACTTTAGATTATGTTCTTAACGTTTTTTGTCTTGTTTTGGTTTTTTTGTCCTTTTGAGACAGGGTCTCCTTGTAGCCCCAACTGTCCTGGAACTCACTATGTAGACCAGGCTGGCCTCGAACTCACAAAGATCCACCTGCCTCTACCTCCCAAGTGCTGGAATTAAAGGTGTGCGCCACCACGCCTGGCTCTTGCATGTTTTATACTTAAGCTAACTTCTATTCTAACATGCAGACAGAGTGTGTTTTTAAATTTTTGATTGTATCGTGCAGGGCATGTGAGGAATTGCATTGTATTCTTTCTTTGTAGGCACTCAAAATTCGGGAGATCTGTAATTGCCCACCACTTTCTGGACCAGACCCTCGGTTACTGTTTAAACTTACCACAAAGCATATTCTGGAAGAATCAGAAAAAGAAGAGCTAAACATCACTGTTAAGAAGCAGAAAATGGATAGTCCTCCCATTCAAAAGCAGGAGCAAATTCCACTGACTTACATAGTCGAGAAAAGGACTGGAAGTTGAATTGAAAGGTGAATTGAAACTTGTGACTTGGGATGTGTGAAGAATACAGCAGTCCTTGTCCTTTCTATACCGCTTATAAAAAATGACGTTTGAGATGAAAAAATGGATATTCAGAGTCAAACCATGTATATTACAGATATTATCTAAATTCTTCTAGGTTTTTATCTTTCATGAATATTGATGTATTTTTATCTATTTTAAAATATTGCCAATGAGGAAAATGTCACAGAATAAAAAAATTATACATTTTATTCTGTCACTGATACCTGCTTTGGATTTGGAAGGCAGGCCCTAGTGGATATATCCTCTGAGCATATTGTAATTGTTGTAGAGGGGTTCCTGCTGAGCGTAGAGTGGGTTTCAGAGTCTGGGTGGTTATGAAGTGGGAAACTGAGAGTCTACAGGTGATCTCTTTATAGAAAATGGTCTGTATTGGGGTAGGATGATGTGTACAGAGAATTTCCTGGATTTTACTAGTGGAAGACAAGGGAGATAGCGGCAGGCAGATGCTGAAGAAGCATTTCCATGGAGAGGCACAGAAGGTACTGATGTGGTCTGGGTGACAAGGTGAGCAGCTAAGGGTCACTTTCATGGTGTGATAGTGTGTTTTGGTAGTGTGTGGTTTGGGAATCTGGGGTTCTCGGGGAGGACACCACCTGGAAAGACAGTGGTGAGGTACTGTCCCAAGTGCCTCTCTCTATCAAGATCAGCAAGGTGCTAGCGGGGTGACTGATAGAAGGTGCTCAAGATACATCCTCAGCAAGTCCTAAAAGCTGATTATTGTGTAAGTATGGAAGTAAGTTTTTAAAAGTTGAGTGTATTAGTCAGGGTTCTCCAAAGAAACAGAACTGATAGAATGAATATGTATAGAGATTTATCAGCTTAGCTCACAGGATAGAGTCCGAGTAGTCCAACAATGGCTGCACCACACTGGAGAGGCTGAGAATCCGTAGTCGCTCAGTCCACAAGGCTGGATGTCTCAGTAGTCCCAATCTGGTGCTGAAGGTCTGACAAATTCCAAAATATCAGCTAGTCTTCAGTCTACAGCAGCAAGACGAACTCACCAGCGAGAGAGAAGGCAAGCAGCAAAAAGCCTGGCATTCTGCTCTGCCTTGGTCTTTTATACTGGCTGCCATCAGAAGGTAACGCCCACATCTAGGGTGTGTCTTCTGGCTTTAGTTGATCCAATCAAGAAGATCTCTTTCAGTTAATCCCAGATCCAATCAAGTTGACACCCAGGATTAGCCATCACAGTGAGTTATTATTTATGCAATATTATTTGTATCTCCAACCTGGTGAAGTCTATTGTTCCTTAAGTTACATTTCTCAGAGGGACATATTTCTTGAAACACATTAAATAAATACTTAGAGGATTAAAAGGGAAAGAAACTTCTTTTTATTGAGTATCTACTACATGCTGGGATCTTTTAAAAAAGATTTGCTTTATTTTCAATTGTGCGTATATGTGTTGGGTACGTACGCACATGCATGTGTTACCTGTGGAGGCCAGAAGAGGGCATCAGATCCCCTGGAGCTGGAATTCCAGGTGTTTATGAGCCACCTGATTGGTTGCTGGGGCCCCATGTCAGGTCTGCTGGAAGAACAGCAGCATTCCTAACTATTGAGCCATCTCTCTAGGCCTGGGAGCTGAGAACTTTTAATTGCAGTTATTCCACAACCATAGGAGGTAAGTTTTTTGTTTTTTTTGTTTGTTTGTTTTGGGTTTTGTTTTTTTTTTGTTGTTGTTGTTGTTTTGGTCTTTTTGAGGCAGGGTTTCCCTGTAGCCCCAGCTAACCTGTTATTCCCTATGTAGACCAGGCTGGCCTCAAACTTACAGAGATCCGCCTGCCTCTGCCTCTGAAGTGCTGGGATCAAAGGTGTGCACCGCCAGGCCCAGCTCCAGAAGGTAAGTTTTAGTCTCATTTTATGTTCATAAATAGTCTTGGAGGGGTTGCTAATGTACCCCATTTCTCTTACCTAGAAAGAGCAAAATTACATCTGTCTGATTACCAGTTTGTCCATTTCCACAAATCTCAGGCATCTGAGACTCAACCATCGAATGACAGGGAACACATTGCATTCTCAGTTGTCTGTTACCTAGAACCCGAGGGACCACTGTGTTGTCTGCAGAGCGGTCTTCTCAGCCTTTCTTTCAGATCCTTTTATCAAAGTCTACATGAAAAGCTTGGGTGAGGAAGTGTGGCAGAGCGAATCCCTCCCGAAAACTTGTGAAGTCTTACTTGGGGTATAACTTGATGCTTAGACAAAATACTTGCAGAGCTGCCATGAAAAGTTCAGAGCCTGTTTATGTTTTTAGAGCTTATTATATATTGCTTCTAAGGTATGTCTTGATCTGCACATAAGACAACAGGTGTAAGGGAGAGTTTTACAGTAGTGATCATCGTTGCTGCCGTTCTGTACTGTGACTGGAGTTTTTTGAGAGGCACTCCACAGCTTGTAAAGACATTTCAAGAATGTCACCCACACGTAAACAGCAAAACACAGTTTGATGTCCCTGAAGTATTCCAAGGAAAATAGTGTAGTACAAACCCCACTCTTATTTTTCCATCCATCCCTTTGTCAAAGCTAATTGTGTTATTAAGACTTCTTAGAAATCATATGAAAGTTGACACCATGTCAGAAAGAGCAGAGGTAAACCAGAGACAATGGTATTTTTTGTTTTTCTCCAGGCCCAAAACTATACTTTTATTTTATTTTACTTTTTCTTTTCTTATTCCAAAGAGAGGAAATTTTAAACACATTTTTCCATCAATAACTTGAAGCAGGTTACATAAAAATATATTTACAATGAAGTTTAAGGGGGAAAAAGGAATAAGAAATCAAAGACTAAAGGATTTGGTAACATGGGGTCAACTTTTGTGGAATAATGATGTTTCCATTAGCTCTGGTCTTTTTTTTTGAGTTTATTGGGCCTGCTAAAACATAGGGTGGGTGGTGGTTTATTTACAGAAGAGTGAGCATTCCCCCATTTATGGCTGCCCTGGAAAGTCCACACTCAAGTATAGATCCTGTGACATCCCGACAGCAGCACAAAATGGCAATAAAGGTGCCTCCTGGCATTCTTGGTTTCTGTATCCTTAGCCCCTCCCCCACATGCAGCTAAGGTCTACTGATTGGGCAGGAGGGGTAACTGACTCCCTCCTTGACTCCTTGATGAGCGTGGGAAGGAGGTGTGACTATAGCTTGTTGGCATAGTGGTTGGTGTACACTTCCAGGTAACATCCCACTCCTTCCTCCAGCTCTTAGATTCTTCCTGCCAACCCTTTCAGCAAAAGTCCCTGAGCCTTGGAGGGGGAGATAGGTGGGATGATCTTCCTCCCATTGTAGCAAGGCACAGAACTTTCGAGTCTCTGCATCATCTATTTTCCATGGGTTGTTGGCACATTTCAGTGGGATTCCATCTACTATGAAAACACAAACAGCAAGAAGCAAGAACATCTAAATAGTGGCTGCTGTAATAACTTAACCTATAAGCATAAACACAAGTGCAAGATATGCCCACTGGTGTAATGGCTTCACCAATGTTATATGAGTAACCAAACACTTTCTGATTGGATTTAAGGCCCACTGGACAAGATGGAACCATACCTGACCCTATTACTGGGGCCAAGAAGCTGTGACTAGATAGATTGTAGGCCCTAGGGGAGATCCTACTACTATTATTCTGCTAAATGGATGTAGTAATAAGCCAGCTCCTAGTGACTTATTGTTATACCCATCCATTAATGCATCTGTCAGGCCTCTTCAGAGAAGCTTCTTTCTGCAGTAGATGGTGATTAACACAGAGATCCACATTGGTCAACATGTAGAAAATAAGACACATTCTGAGTGCTCAGCCCTAAGTGGGATATCAAGGCTCAGGAATCTTTGTGGAAGAGGGGATAGAATGGTTTTAAGAGCAGGAGGTGGTGGATGACTACAATGAACAGTGTTTTCTGGATATAACAGGACAGTTGCATATAAGAACTCTGAGCAGTTTTGACAGCGTGCATAAGACCTGGACAAGCTCGAATCAGGCAAAATCTCAGCTTGGAGGAGGGAGGTGGGCAGAGATTCTTACCTTAGCTGAGAAGCTCTTGGCAGTTGATAGTTGCTGAGCGAGGGAGAGTCAGATTTCTTTTAACTGTGGAGTCCTTGGTAGGTTGACTGCATCCCAGGAGATGGACACACACCCAAGAGTATTTGGGCAAACAAATTGGACTCTGTGGGCTTAAAAAAGAAAAAAGAGGACACAAAGTGTAGGGTGTAGGGGTGTAATGGAGGTGGGGTGGACTTGAGATAGGAGAGGTAATGAATATGATCAAAATACATTGTGTGAAGTTCTCAAAGGATTAATAAAAGTATCATTAAAAACAGCAACCTAATGTAGACTGTTTCATATTGGTGTAAAAGGAAGTTTGCATTAGTATATTTGTTTTATCATACTGGGTTTGGTTTTGTTTTAATCTGAATTATATCCTAGAAACCAACCTGTTAGTTTGGAAAGATAAAAGGTGTTATTTACTCATAAGGAAGGAAACAGCTTGGAGGAATTGGGCAAGTTATCCAAGTGTGACCTTCAAGTAGATGGCTGAATTGGGATTAGAACTAAAGCACTTGCTGATTTGTAAGCCAGCATCCTTTCTGCAATACCACATTCTTGGGAGAAGCAGTATTACCCCCATTTTTTATCTAGAAACTGGAACCAAAGCTATTAAGCAGTGTACCCAGCACTCCTTGTCTCTTGATGGCAGTGCTGGATCCCAGCCCTCGTCTTCTGACTCCCTTACTGCCTCTTCACTTGGCAAATCTCATATAGGAACTGAGAGTGGAACCTCTTCCCTTTCGCCTTTCATTTTGGACTGTAGGGCTGACACCTCTTTTCCCTGCTTGAAAACATTCATTGTCACACTCTGTGATGGGTGGAAAAAACATTTTTAAGCATATTTAGACATGTGAGAGGTAAAGTTCCTGTTAATCACCTACTAACATGTTTTTATTGGAGCCTAGAGTGTTCTTTAACACTGGTCAGAAATATCTCTCATTTATTCCTTGGAAGAAAACTTGAGTGTCGCACCTGTCCACAGGTGGTTTCCTACACCACTGCAATGAAACTGTTTTCTGTACACCACAGGGCAGGGCCTTGAATGACTGGGGTATCTAGACTCATGACCAGGGTCTCTCACTGGCCTGGCTCTTTAGGGGTAGGGACGGTGGCAAGGGTCACACAG